GCTCAAGGAGGAGCTGGAGAGAGTCTGGAAGATGAAGACATCAGTGGAGCCTGTGGTGATCGGACACTCGGGGCTGTAACCCCCAAACTGGAAGAAACTACAACAGATACCAGGAAAATAACAGAACATCTGTCAGAATAATTTTATTATCCCATATTTGCTAAATACTTGTGTGATATTCTAGGCCTATGAGTTAACCATTTATGTAACTACAATTCTTTGATTTATAATGTACCAATCACTTGTCACTTGTTGAATAACCTCTGTGTGTTTGACAACTGTGTGCAGTGTCCTGTCGCTCTAGTGAACCTCCAGATGATTCCTCACATGAAGCCAACTCCCACTGTCACACATGCAAGAGTTATGATGGTGTCTAAGCACCTCCTGATTGTTAATCATGTTTTATGTGTTTGTACTATGCATAGCTTCATCAGTTTCTTATTATGTCTTTGCTGTTTCCCCTTCCCCTTGAGAATTATCATTCTGTAACTAGGGCCTCCTAATGAAATAAAAAGAGGAACGGCCTTGAGTCATCAGAACGTGTGGAGACTGTTGGTTGTGATGCCCACTCTCTGCCCGTTCTCCTCATGAGTAAAACTGAATTAATCTCTTGTCTTTCTTCTTGTTTACAATGTTTAGGCAGACCTAACAACATCTCAGTCCAGAAAAGTGCAGGACTGGAACAGCAAAGATACTGAGCAGAACTGTCAGACTCCCAGGCCTCTGGCAGACGACCCGAGCTGGACGAGAGACAAACCACCGTGGAAGGTGAGAAACACATTTTTTTTTTTTTTTTTAGTACTACATATAAAACTCATTGTATTGGCAGAAACATTGAGTCTCTGCATTAGGGTTGTGCAGAAATATGGAAATATTGATTTATATTTTATCGTTTACTGTGATGCTACAGTATTGATATATCGTGGGCTGCTGTTTCGATATATCGCCAAGAGTATTTTTTGGTATATTTTATTAAATTATTTTGTTACAGCTACAGTTTTGTCATTTGTTTGAAGGAAACTCGTTTATGCGACACATTTGACATTTTCATAGCCTGATTCATCAGCCGGTTTCACACCGTTTGACCTCGCAGCATTAGGATTCGTTCGCTCGACGGGAGACGAGTACTTTTTTAAAAAATTAACCAATCACTGCTATTTGGTCATGATGGATGTAATGCTCCTTTAACGGGGATAACTGGTATATTAAGCTTTTCCCAAATCCTGTAGGAAGAAGGACAATAACGTTTGATAAAATTCACCAAACATTCTCTTTGTTCCGGCTTTAAATCCTCGATCTCGGGAATCGTTGCCAACACAGAATGTCTGTCTTCATCTACATCCATCGCGACGCTTTGTTTACAGTTGTGCTGTACTTTTACTTTTTGTTGTTTTTTCTGTTTGGTTTTGTTTACTGTTGTGCTGTACCTTTTGTTTTTAAGTTGTGCTGTACTGTTTTTTTTTAAGTTATGCTGGACCGTTTTTGTTTTTTTGTTTTGTTTTTACGGTTGTGCTGTACCTTTTTTTTGGTGTTTTTTTTTTTTTTTTTTTTTTCCATTTTGTTTACTGTTGTGCTGTTCCACAAAATGGACCCAGACAGACGCGAAGAGTTTGATGTCATGACTTCACAGCTCTTCCCTGATTGGCCGGTGCACGATCTACAACTTCCAGGATTCTTGCAAACCGTCTAGTGTATCCGACTCCTGATCTAGTCGCTGGAGAGAAATTGAGCGGAGGCACTAGGTGGCGCCAGCTTCACTAACGTTTTCACAGTTTTGATGATTAAAATGTTTGTGTTTCATATGAACTTTGCACATGAAGTGGTTTAACAAAGACTTTTAGTATCACAGACATGATTTAGCCTTTATTTTGCATTAAACCGAATCAATTTGAAATATATCGTACTGAATCAAATGTTCACTGTACCGAGATATGTATCGTATCTGCAACTTCTTAATGATACTCGGCTCTACTCTGCGAGGAAATGTCCACACAGACTCCTTGTACGAGTATTACTTTCTAATATTTGATGAAGTAAATTACCTGGACTTAACAAATTTATCTAAGCAGAAACTAAAGAACACGAGAGGAAAAGGCTGTTTTCTTTTTCTCAACACTTCCCAGAGTCAAACTCCTGTGACTCTAAAAACACAACAGAGTAAAAGTGATGAGACACATGAACAGTCAAATTCAATTCAGTCTTTATTTAAAACACATAATATCTGGTTCATATAGTAACAATACTACTATACTTCAAACATGAGTCTGCAAATCTGTTTTATTGCTTTTACAACGAGGAGATCAACAACTATTATAAAAATGATTACGAAATACAAAAGAACTTTAATGTGGATGAGTCTTTACGCACCTCCAGCATTTACTACAATTGGAGAGTTTCACATGAGACTTTGTACCTCCGCCAAGGAGGTTATGTTTTTGCCGGCGTTTGTTTGTTTGTTTGTCTGTTTTTGTTTGTTTGTTTGTCTGTTAGCAACATAACTCAAAAAATTATGGACCGATTTTGATGAAATTTTCAGAATTTGTTGGAAATGTGAAAAGGAAGAACTGATTTCATTTTGGGGGTGATCCGGAAGAAATCCTGGATTCTGGATCACTTTGAAATTTTTGTTAACATTGTGGTAAATGGGGCCAAAAAATTTGTTTCTCAATATCTCGGTTAATTATTGACCAAACCCCATGAAATTTGACTCAGGGATGGACAATGGGATCCTCTTTCATATTCCAAATTGAAAGATACGAGACAAATATTTATGGAAAACACAATTAATATGAGGGGGACTGTAGTCCTTGGCGGAGGTCTGCGCTCTGAGTGCTTTTCTAGTTTTTTATTATAAAGGTTTAGATAAAATAAATTCACAGGTAAAATGCCAAATAAAAAATTAAATAGTTGATTTAAAAATGCACTGTGTAACTTTTTGGTTGAGGGTCTGTCACCTAAGTGTCTCAAAGGTTTTATCATTGTTCTGCCTTGAGGTTCATTCCACGGCAAATCTCCAAATGTCTCGCTCGACCATCTCAGATCTGACTGAAAAAATTCTAGGAGGTTCACACACTTTCGATAAAAAGGAAAAGTCCAAAATTTTAGCTCCCAACTCCTTATAGTTTTGTCATTAAAAAATATTTTGTCAACTCAACCCTGACATGTTTTGAGCAGAGTTTTCCCAGGAGCCACAGTCAAAATTCCTGTTTTTCTTGGTATTTTTGAGCTGTAAAACCACCTGTAATGGAATAAATATAAAGAAGAGCTGTTTAAGGTCACACTGTACAGGTTCACACACTTTCCAAGAGGAAACGTCCCAAATTTTAGCTCCCAACTCCTTATAGTTTTGTCATTAAAATATATTTTGTCGACTCTTTTGAGCAGAGTTTTCCGAGGATCCACTTCCAGATTTCTGTATCTAAAAAACTATTTACGGGTTGGTCCTTCAAATTTTCAAGGAGAATCTGGACTTTTACACTTGTGCTTTTGGTTTATCACATTTTCAAAAATAAGGCAGAACATCATCACAAAGTTTGGAAATTTTAAAAACCGACATCTAGTCTTTCTAAAACAGTCCATTTTATGTTGGTGGGTGCTGTTATTTTTTTGGTATAACATGGTAAAGATGGCACCAAATTATTATTTTTTTTCCATTTTTAACACTTAAGGGTCCAGTCAAGTGGTAACGGAGGGAAACGGGCAGATTTTTGACATTCAAATGTCTCTTATTCAGAAACTAGAGGAACTATTGAAATAAGTAAAGTATCAGAATGTAGGAAAGAGTTACACTCCAACAGGGTCAAGTTAAACCTGTGATATTCTTTCAAGTTGTTGACAAAAAATTTAAAAAATTCATGTCGGTAACGGAGGGAATGAAATATGCAGCACTTTTTGGGCAATAAATCCAAACAGTGAAAACTCTTGGTTCTCACTTACATATCCTTAACAAACTGGTTTGAATATTTGCTTCATATAGTTTTCTACCATATGGTACAAGATTAGGTTGAAAAACCTCTTACTTTTTGAATGAGATTTTTTTATTAAGAAAGGTCATGGAAAAGTAACGGAGGGAAAATTGTGCAAACAAGTAGAAGGTGCAGGATTTTACATCATTTGTCACTTTTTTTCTTCTGAAATACTTTAATATTACTTCAAAATGAAAGGAAACTATTTCTATAAAATATGTCAGTCCTTCCAAGCAAATTTTTATCATTTTAAATACTTTTTTTTTTTTTTTGAAAAATCCTGTACCTTCATCAACAGTTCAAAGATGGAATAACACAAGATATGATGAAATACATCCATTTATTTACATGATTTTTGGGTCTTTGAAATTTGGGAAATAATTTTTGTTCCATGTTTCATACATGGTCTGTTTAAAACATATGGAACTTTAGAACCAAAAATGGTACAGAAAAAAGGTCAACAGTTTCATAAACTAGAGTACATATGTATCTGTTCAATACATTTTTATATCAGATGCATTAACTTGAATTTTTGGCCTTGTTGTTTACTTCTGCTTGACCGGGTAATCTCTTCTAGAGCGTTCATCAGGGAGGGTCAGTTTTAAAATACAGTGAATGTTCAATATTAAACCTCTGTCTTTGAAACTGGACTTCCCACAGTCCTTCAAAGACGCCCTCATATTTGAAGAGGAGAATTTTCAAGCAAATTCAAGCCCCAGAAATCTGTGATAAATCAAAAGCACATGTGTAAAAGTCCAGATTTTACAAAGACCCACTTTTATTCTCTGGTTTTTAACACTGTGTGAGTTGTATGGTCCTCTGTGTCTTTTATTTATTTATTTAATTATTAAAAAAAATATTTATGTATTTATTGTTTTTATCAATTATATTTTGTTAGTACTACTTTTATGTTTTTTTTATTTTTTATTTTATTATTATTTTATTTATTAATTCTATTTGTTTCCTCATCGTTGGAACATAATTCAGCTGATTTTTATTTTTTTTTTTTTACATTGCTATGTAAAGAACTTTGGAAACGGTCATGTTTATAAAATGTGCTCTACAAATAAAGTTGGATTGGATTGATGGGAAGTACATTTGCCAAATTTTAACAATTGAAAATTTGAAGGACTGACCATAAATAGTTTTTTTAGATAAAACAATCTGAAAGTGGCTCCTCGGAGAAAACTCTGCTCAGAAAAATCGACAAAATATTTATTTATTTCAAAACTATAAGGAGTTGGGAGCTAAAATTTGGGACTTTTCCTATTGGTGTGTAAGTGTGTGGACCATTTAGATATTTTTCAGTCAAATCTGAGATGGTCGAACGGGGCATTTGGAGATTTGGCGTGGAATGAGCCTTGAATGTTCCACAGTGTGACATTAAACAGCTCTTCTTTATATTTATTCCATTGCAGGTGGTTTTAACTCTTTCCCTCTTGGACGTCTACTTGGAACAACCCATACATATATTAGTATGTGTGGTTGTAGTGGCCCCCACCAATCACAGCCTCTGTTTACATGTGAAAAACCGAGCCACTTGTAACGGTCGTCAAATCACGTCTTTAGTGAAACAGCGGAGGAGTCAAACGACGTCATTAAGGAAACAAGGGGGACGTCAAGATGTCGTCTTCATGGGGAAAGAGTTAACGTTAAAAAATACACAGATAAATAAACATTCTGACTGTGAGCGGGGCGCCTCTCCACAGATCTGACCCGTAACTTGGTCTGGTTTGGTGTCCATGAAGATAAAATGGTTTAATGCCACACTGTGAAACATTCCAGACAAAGCAATAACAGTGGAGAAAGGTATTTGACAGACCCTTCACCAGAAAAGTTACACAGTGCAGCTTTAAGTGTATCTGTGCTCTTTGTGTGCGTCAGGGCTGAATCACAGAGTCCCTGATGATTTGACGTTTGGTATTTTAACATTTTGCAGCATCCTAAAACCTGTGTGTTTAATAAACCCCGAGTTTGTCCCAGAAGTCACAGATGTGCTCCCTGGATCCGGCCTGGGCGTGGGACCTCACCGTCAGGTTCATGAGGAGCCAGCCCGACGTGTCTGAGTATCTGGGCCACAGGGGAAGCCTCTGCTCTCGACAGAAGCCCGTCTGCCCCGCGCGCGCCGAGGGGTCCCCGCTGTGCGCCCACGCCCCCCAGTAACACAGCATCCGATTGGACAGCAGCCTCTCGGCGGGCGTCATGCTCAGGTTGGCCACCGGGGCGGAGTTAAAGACGAAAGGCAGTTCCGCGCCGTGACACACGTGCTGGTAGCAGAAGGACAGTCCGGACCACACGCGGTGATCCGAGCTCACGTGATCAAACACGTACGTCCACACGCGGCCGCCGGACGCCACGGCGGAGCGGGCGGAGCGGCGAGCCGGGCACAGGAAGATGAAGTCTGTCACGATCTGAGGACCAAGGAGAGAAGAGCGTCGATCATTTACACATAATCACAGACACCAAGGCCCTAGAGACTGAACCCAAAATAAACCCAGACTAAACCACTTACTAAACCTGGACTAAACCTGGACTAAACAGTCTACTAAACCCGGACTAAACCGGACTAAACCCGGACTAAACTGTCTACTAAACCTGGACTAAACCTGGACTAAACCTGGACTAAATCTGGAGACTAAACCTGGACTAAACTGTCTACTAAACCTGGACTAAACCTGGACTAAACCTGACTAAACCTGGACTAAACCTGACTAAACCTGGACTAAACCTGGACTAAACTGGACTAAACCTGGACTAAACCTGGACTAAAACTACTAAACTGGACTAAATCTGGACTAAACCTGGACTAAACTGTCTACTAAACCGGACTAAACCTGGACTAAACCTGGACTAAATCTGGAGTAAACCTGGACTAAACTGTCAACTAAATTTCGACTAAACCTGGGCTAAACCTGGACTAACCTGTCTACTAAATGTGGACTAAACCTGGACTAAACCTGGACTAAACCTGGACTAACCGTCTACTAAATTTGGATTAAACCTGAACTAAACCTGGACTAAACCAGCTTCTAAATTTGAACTAAACCTGGATTAAACCTGGACTAAACTGTCTACTAAACATGGACTAAACTGCCTACTAAACCTAGACTAAACCTGGACTAAACCTGGACTAAACCTGGACTAAACCTGGGCTAAACCTGCACTAAACCATGTACTAAATTTGGACTAATCCTGGACTAAATCTGGACTAAACCATCTACTAAACCTGGACTAAACTATTTATTAAATCTTGATTAAACCTGGACTAAATCTGACTAAACCTGGACTAAACCTGGACTAAACCTGGTCTAAACCTGGACTAAACCTGGACTAAACTATTTATTAAATCTTGATTAAACCTGGACTAAACCATCTACTAAACCTGGACTAAACTATTTATTAAATCTTGATTAAACCTGGACCAAACCTGGACTAGAGGGTTTCTTATGGAGGAGACGGGTCTGAAGAATCCATATGAATTTCACGTATTTAAGACGGTTAAAAAATCAGGTGCAGCACCTTTAACTTTCTCTCA